CAATATAATAGAAAAAAATTTTAAAAAGAAATCAAACCCTAAAAAAAGTGAAACCCTAGAAATGCAGCAAAGCTTCATCAGTATATGAATACTTTATATTTGTATATATAATATATATAATATGTAATATATAGTATATAAATATGATGTATTAATACAGATATATTATAATATATAATATATATTACATAGTATGGAATATAAATTTTTTAATAAATGACACCCTAAAGAAAGCAAAACCCCAGAAATGCAGCAAAGCTTCCTGAATATATGAATATTTTATATTTACATGTATTATATAAATATAATACAATATATACTGTATAATAATATAATATATATTATATAATATATAATGTATATTATATAATACATAGTGTGCAAGGTAATATTTTATTTTCAATAAATCACACCCTAAAGCAAGTGAAGCCCCAGAAATGCAGCAAAGCTTCATGAGTATTTCATATATATATATATGGTATGCAATATCTATTTTTTTCAATAAATGACACCCTAAAGCAAGTGAAACCCTAGAAATGCAGCAAAGTTTCATAAATATTTCATATATATATAAATATATATATATATGGTATGCAATATAAATTTTTTTCAATAAGTCACACCCTAAAGCAAGTGAAACCCCAGAAATGCAGCAAAGTTTCATAAATATTTCATATATATATAAATATATATATATATGCTATGCAATATAAATTTTTTTCAATAAGTCACACCCTAAAGCAAGTGAATCCCCAGAAATGCAGCAAAGATTCATGAATATTTTATATATATGTATATATAAAATATACAATTTATATCTTGTATATTATATATAATACATTATATATAATATATATACACGATATATAATATATATAATAATATGCAAGGAAATACAAATTCTTTTCTTAACAGATCACGCCGTAAAGGGAGTGAAGTCCCAGAAACGCAGCAGAGCTTTATGGATATTCTATATGTAAGTGTGTATGTAAACATGCAATGCAGGGTCACATTTTTCACTCAATGCCGCCCCAGAGGCGGGGCGGGCTCGGGCGCAGCGGCGCGCTCACCTTGTCCAGGAGCTGCTCGCGCTCCTGCTGCGCCTCGGCGCTCCAGGCGCTCATGTCCTGCGCGCTGCGCTGCGTCACCGTCAGCACCGTCAGGCTGCGCGGGCCCAGCGCGGGGAACAGCGGCTGCAGCTCTGCAACGGGCAAAAACACACGGCTGCAGGTCTGCAACGGGCAAAAACACACGGCTGCAGCTCTGCAACGGGCAAAAAACACATGGCTGCAGCTCTGCAACGGGCAAAAAACACACGGCTGCAGGTCTGCAAAGGGACAAACACACGGCTGCAGGTCTGCAGTGGCACAAACACACGGCTGCAGGTCTGCAGTGGGACAAACACACGGCTGCAGGTCTGGAAAAGGCAAAAAACACACTGCTGCAGGTCTGGAAAAGGGCACAAACACACAGCTGCAGGTCTGCAAAGGGCACAAACACACGGCTGCAGGTCTGCAAAGGGCACAAACACACGGCTGCAGGTCTGCAAAGGGCACAAACACACGGCTGCAGGTCTGCAGTGGGACAAACACACGGCTGCAGGTCTGCAGTGGGACAAACACACGGCTGCAGGTCTGCAAAGGGACAAACACACGGCTGCAGCTCTGCAACGGGCAAAAAACACACGGCTGCAGGTCTGCAAAGGGCAAAAAACACACGGCTGCAGCTCTGCAAAGGGCAAAAAACACACGGCTGCAGGTCTGCAAAGGGACAAACACACGGCTGCAGGTCTGCAGTGGGACAAACACACGGCTGCAGGTCTGCAACGGGCAAAAAACACGGCTGCAGGTCTGCAAAGGGACAAACACACGGCTGCAGGTCTGCAAAGGGCAAAAACACACGGCTGCAGCTCTGCAATGGGACGAACACACGGCTGCAGATCTGGAAAAAGGCACAAACACACGGCTGCAGGTCTGCAAAGGGACAAACACGGCTGCAGGTCTGCAGTGGCACAAACACACGGCTGCAGCTCTGCAGTGGGACAAACACACGGCTGCAGGTCTGCAAAGGGCACAAACACAC